ACAAATATTGACTCCATCAGCAAAAGATAGTTTTTTTTTTCACTTCAGAATATGCTTCAGAAAGCATATTAAAAACAAAAAAGTTCCCCAAATATCTTAAGCAATGGTATCATCAGTGGACTCCATTTAATGACTGTTTTGAGGGTAAAAGCACTAATCTGGGTATGTGTGGTCTGGTCATTTTATTAAAATCAGCCTCGGTGTATTCAAGCTGTGCCTTCCTTAAGTATCTATCAAAGTTTTATTAAATTTAACTCACGGATTTTTTTTTGTTTTAAGCCAAATTTATTTGAGGGGGGGGGGGGAAAAAAAGCTCAATCCCTCTAATAAGGAATTATCAATTGAAACAAAAATAAGTTTTTTTCAATCTACCAAATTCACAAAGATTAAGACAATATGTGATGCTGGGAAGTGTGCAGTAAGATAGACAGTCACAAAGAGTTCCGGTGGCTGTGGGCATGGGAATGGCCTTTCTTGAAGGCACTTGGAGACCTTTAAAACAACTGCATTTTTGCCCCAATAAACCCAATTCTAGAAATTTATCTTTAGTAGTCAGATGAGCATGCTCATTGATGTAACGCGACGTTCCATGCATCACTATTTAGAGTAGCAAATGAAATGGAGTGTACATGAACACCCATACGCTATTGCTGCACAGAAGCCTAACGGGAAGGCTGTACAGTAGCACGGCAATAGTCATTATCTCTGGTAAAATTCCTGATACATTTTATTTCCTGTCTCTTAAATTTGCCAAATTTTCTGCAATGTACACTTATCACTTTACTTTAAAAATATACCTTTGTAAACTTTAAATACAAAGTTTTTACTTTAAATACTAAGGACTTCCAGGGCAGTACTTAAGAGTGAAAAATAGCAATCTTGTTAGTTCTTCCTTTCCACTCTCCTCTCCCTTGACCACAGGTAAGGAGGGTTGAAAGTTTGATGTATACGGTTCTGGGGCTATTTCTATATATCGATAACATACATATGTATATAAAAACATTTTATTATCCAGATGTCATTACACTATTCATGTTATTCTACAACCTGATGTTCCCCACTGAATGATATAGCTTAGAGTTCTTTTCATGTTAATAGCTGTACATCTACCTCTTTGTAAATGGCTGAAGCAGTAAGTTACAGGACAATATTAAAGAGACTTGTTTTTTTTTTTTTGCCACTAGGGGAAACACTTATAACTTAATACCATCTCCAAATATAAGTAGAATTTTTATGAGGTGGGCGTTAAAGCAGTTCTCTTTCCGCGGGAGAGTAAACAGAAGAGAGCAGCGGGGAAGATTTCATTGGCATAAGAAACCATCTCCTGACTGCTACCCCTTCCTTACACACCAGATACCACTTTGCTCAAGCTGAGCTATCAGATTCCCTAGAAATCTCCCTCCCCCCCAGCTCCACCCCAGCATGTGAAGAGAAAATCAGAAAGTAAACACATTTCTCATTTAACAGAAATATCTTGTTTTTGAGTTGTTTGACTAGGTCTATTAGTCTTTCCAAGGCCCCAAATTCAGTAAGATGTCACAGTCACTTCAGAAACATGCATGAGAAATTTCACTGAAGTATCATTCACACTCTACAAATAAATGTCATTAGCATTTTAATTACCAAAGAGGTATTGCTTATTTTTGTCCAAGAAGGAAGAACTATCTAGGGAGACTTGCCCAAAGGGCCGTAGGTGGAGTCTGGTTGCAAAAACTCTCTAAAATAAATATTGGGAACTCCCAATTTCTTTCATTTCAGATAAAACAAACAAGTGAAATCCTGCATTTTAATTTTGAACCGTTAAATGCTCTCTATTCACAGTCTTTCTGTTGGAAATGCTGATATTGTTTTCCCAGAATCTACAAAACCCCATCAGTAACCTTCACAAATGAAAAAGGTTAATTCCTGAGCTGGATGTGTTAGCAATTTCAGTTTCTATATAACATTAGGGAAATGATTCTGATATTCATGACTCATGCTCGAAAGGGAGAAAGAAGTGCTGCCCTCCAGAGAACACAGGGCATGCAACAGCTTTTCTTCACAGAGAGCTTTTTTATACTCACAATATCAGAATAAGGCAACTCACTGATCCATGACATTTTCCCAGCCTTTCCTACAAGTACCGTTGTTGAATCAAGTGAGCAAGTGTTGCCTGAAGGAACATGGTCATCTACTGTAACTGAGATGTGAAACGCTCAAAAAAAATTAAATATCATTCCTAGTTTAATTCAACAACCAAATACCTGCCACCTTCCTCTTTTCTTGTCTGTGTGAATTCTTTTTCAACTTCTCAGTAACAATCAAACAAAATCTGACAAAATCTCTTGCATGTCCAAGGCTAGAACTTTCTAGTAGCTTCTCCTAAAGGCACTCCCCTCCCCCACCCACTCCTCTAAGGAGGCAGCACAGGGTTTGGGGTCCTCAAGGGGAGGTCCGCTGGTGGTAGGATTTTAGGTAACCTTGCACCTATCAGGCAAAGTTTCTTTACTTTGTGTTTCCCCAATGGGATGGGCAGACCACTGATGGGGCAAACGATGGATTTCAGATTGCTATGGTTTGAATGTTTGCATCCCCTTAAAATACATTTATTGAAATCTTAACCCCTAAAGATGATGGTATTAGGAAGTGGGACTTTTTGGGAAGATGCTTAAAAGTCACAAGGGTAGAGCCTTCATGAATGCGATTACTGCTTCAAAAAAGAGGCTCCAGTAAGCTAGTTCCCCAGCTGCTTCTGCCATGTGAGACTTCAACAAGAAGTCTGCAACCTGGAAGAGGGTGCTCATCAGACCATGACGGCACCTTGACCTTGGACTTCTCAACCTCCAGAACTGTGAGAAACAAATTTCTGTTATTTATAAGGCACCCAGTCTGTGGTATTTTATCAGAGTGTCCCAAACGAACTGAGACACATAAAAACTTATTTTTAATATAAACATATACGTCAGAAAAATAAAACAACTAGCTCATAAAACCCATAATTTTGTAATTAGTGGCGAAGATGAGCATAAGTAAGATTGAGTCAATTTAAAGCTGATTAAACAGTACTTCACAGTAATACGGTACAAAGACATGCTCACCTCAAAGCGGTGCATAGCTTCACTATGTTTAGGAAGCTTCGGCTATCATCTTTGCTCCCTTATATCTAGCTCAAACAGTATCCTCATTGACTCCCAAACCTCCTAGTGCTTTCTCTCAGTTTGATATTCCTATCAGGATTTAACCATACCCGCATTTTTCTCATCTTTAAACGGAAAAAGACCTCCCCCTTCACTTCCCTGCCAGCTATGGCTTTCTTTCTCTTTCCACTCACAGCCCCTTTGTTGAAACAGCTAGCTGCACTTGCTGGCTGGCTGCATGCATATTCACACCTCCCACTCATTCCTCAACCCACTCCCATTTGGCTTCCACACCCACCACTGACGGGCACAACCTCCCTGATGAGAAACGCAGTGAACGCTTCGCTCATTATTTCACTTTATCTTTCAGGAGCACTCAACAGGGCTCACCTTCCTTTCACCAACTCATCTGCTATTTGCCAGGCCATTATGGTGCTCCTGCTTCTCTGGTATGTTTTTTTCGTTTGTTAAGTCTCCTCTGCTGCTTCCTTCTCCCTAAACAAGACGAATGCTGGTGTTCTTCATGGCTCTATCTCAGACTCACTACTTGTCTTCCTCTAAGCGAGCGGTTCTCAACCTTCCTAATGCCGCGACCCCTTAATACAGTTCCTCGTGTTGTGGTGACCCCCAACCATAAAATTATTTTCGTTGCTACTCTATAACTGTAATTTTTCTACTGTTATGAATCGTAATGTAAATATCTTTTTGTTTTCCGATGGTCTTAGGCGACCCCTGTGAAAGGGTCGTTCTACCCCCAAAGGGGTCGCGACCCACAGGTTGAGAACCGCTGCTCTACGCACTGTTTCTGGGTAATCTCAGGCACGCTCCCAAAATCATCTTCAAAAACCATCTGGATGCTGATGGTTCCCAAGTTCATGTCTCCAATTCCAGTCTCGCCACTAAGCTCCTGACCTATTTATTCAGCCAACGTGGAGATTTCATAGGAATCTTAATGATAACATATCCGAAATGGAACTCATCAGCTTCTCCCTATTTCTATTGTAAAGAGAAGTAAGAGCATCTATCTAGTTGTCCAAGCTGGAGACCATAATCCTTGACTTCTGACCCCAGCATGCTCCCCCCATCAATCTCCATGCCTACCTCCCCAATATTATAGGTTTACTTCTCGCCATCTTTCTATCACATCAGGATAGGCCACTGTCATGTCTACCCTCATCAACTATAACAGTCTCACAACTGGTCCCATCCCCATTATCACCTTCACAGGACATGAATTTGTAGCTTCTGCATAATCTTAGGATACGGTCCACGATTCTCTAACATCACTCCCCAGTGCTCTCTCCTAGACTAGGCTCCATAGTCAAATGAAGAACATTCCAGTTCTTCAAATTCTCCAACACTCTCTTGTCTGTGGATCTCTAGTCATATGAGACACTCTCTTTCCCTTCATTCCTGACTTACAGCTACCCTTGCTTTAGGTTCAGTGTAAACATTGCTATGTTTTTCCCTATCATGTCACTCACCACCCTTTATTGTAATTCCTATTTAATGTCTGTCTTCCCCTCTGCAGGCAAATTCCACGACGGGAGTAACCACAACTGTCTTGTTCATCACCGTTTTTCAAGGGCTAGCATTATGCCTGGCACAGTAGACAACACTCAATAAATATTTATTTAATATGAGAATGAATGGATAGCTTTTCAGACACCACAAGGAAATATCTGGGCTCTCAATGCAAGACTGTTTGAAATAGTAAAACTACACATTTCATTTGAGCATAGCAAACATGACTGTCTTTCAGCTACTTAAAGAATGCTGTGCAAATGGCTGTGAGAATCTACCAGTTTTCAGCATCAAACCCAGACACATTCTCTTCTGAGGAATTTGAATGGTTTATTGGCTGATGTGCTACTCAAGAGTTACCTTGCTTACTTCCTTTAAGGCCCTTTTGCAGACTTCATACTTCGGAGAGTCCTTAGGTGTTTTTTGACAGATAGTCTGCAATGGAGTAAAAGAAGAAAAAAAAAAACCAATTGATTTATTTTATTAAGTAAAATAAAACCAATGTCAAGACATATCCTCTTATATGTAGCAAACTTAACAATGCTGAACACAATATTACAGATAAGTATGACATTAAAATCCAGTTACCAAACTACAAAAGAGTCTTTAAACACACAGGATCCAAGGAAATCCAAGGACTGGCTAAGTAAGAGGATAGATTTCAGAGGTGGACAAACCTGGTTTCAAATCTGCATTCTGTCCCTTACTAGCTATTTGACCTTGGGCAAGTCATGTTCCCTGTCTCAATAAGCCTCAGTTTTTCCATCTGTAAATTTAGGATAATGCTAACTACATCACAAGGATATTGCAAGAATTAAATGGCAACAGATATAAAATTCTTTATGGGTGCTTGGCATATATTAGGCCCTCAATAAATGATAAAATTATCATTATTAATAGAGGTAACTAACAATATTTGTTGGTGGTACAATTGAATAAAAAGGTCAAGAAAAAAAGGCTGCTGGATTTGCTCTTGATATTTTTATACTGCAATTTTTGTGATGGTAAAATTGAGCTCAAAGAAGGTCAATTCAAGGTAAACCAAATTATGTATCGCTTTTGAAACTGTACTCGTTCAAAGTCATTGAAGCCATTTTAATTGTTTAAAATGTTCATCTTGATGAACAAGTGTAACTAAATCTCTAAATGAAGTAAAACTGAAGAGACTGTTTCAAGTATATTTAGATTCTGTCTAGATTCTCATACCTGGGAAACAGATTAAGGCAACAGGCATCAAGCAGAAGTGGCAGGTAGCTGGGATCTAGCAAACCACTGGTACCTGATACGTAGATGAGGGCCAGGCCTATAAATCTGACAGTCAGGTTGCAGGATTGTTATATGTGATATGTAAGAAGCACAGAGTGTGCCATCTGTGGGTTTATATTAACGGTTCTCAATTTATTTTTGAATATGACCCACAGTAAGAAAAGTGTTTATACTGTAACCAGTACATGCACACACAAAAATGAAACAAGTTTTTTTACGAAATATTTAACCACATTATGAAGCATGTACACATCATGTACTGCATGTTCTATTCTACTTCATTTTTTCAAACACTGCTCATGATTCAAAAAGCAACTTCACGACTCACTAATGAGTATGAAAGTGGTGTGAAAAATACTGGTTTATGTCCCAGAGAGCAGGCATGCTGAGTGCAGTGTCTTTGTAGACTTCAATTTTATGTAAAATTCTGTACATACTGAATTTTCTAGGGAGAATGACTACAGCTTTACTCAAAATCTCAAAAGGGTCTCTGACCCCCAAAAATGTAAAGCCCACTGGGCAATCATGGCATTAACTTCCAACAGGGGATGTTAGATTTTGAGTCCCAATCTATTCAAGCAATTTTATCAAAATTAAACAGAGAGAGACTACAAAAGGCTAAGAGATCACAGTATATACAGAATCTAAAGAAACACAGCTAAAATGCATTTTCAGAAGGAGAAAAAGAACCCTGAAAATTCATAACATTACAAAAAAAGTTACATTTAGAAAGCACCCATTTCTTGTTAAAATATAGTAAACTTTGAAATAATATTTCCCTATATAAATCAAAGTTTCATAGTTTTATAAAAGTCTTAGAAGTCACATGAAATAAACCTTTTTTTAAAATGACTTACTTCAGATAAAGTCTTACGGAAGAAAGCAAAGTAAGTGCTCTATGAAGGTGTCTTAGAAAAATTCACAACATTAATATAACTCAGCACAAGCCTGTATACTATATTTATTAATTTAGTCAAGAAACATTGTCTATTATTGTCAAGCTTACCGTTTACTGTTTCATTTGTTTTCATGCCAACCCTGCAAGTACACATCACACTTAGGTTTCAGATGAAGTTAAGCAATTTGCCTGAGATCATACAGTAAATGGCAAAGCTGGGATTTATACCCAAATCTGTCTTATTCCAGAGACAAAGGATTTCACTACATCAGGTTTACATGTCAGAGCCCCTTCTCTCAAAGTGCTGTGGCTGTTCAGATGGGAAGGGAGGTAAATCTGGTTGGAGGGAAATCGAGTACGACTTTATAAAAAAAAAAAAAAGGAGCACTGGACCTAGTGCTTATAAGATGTGCTTATTTTGATTTGAGGAAAGTTGACAAGTGGAAGCCAAGTACAATGTGAACAAAGGTGCAGAGTGAAAAAGTCAGGGCATATGCAGGGAACAAGTTGGGATGGAACCTAAAAATAAACTTTTGTTAAGCCAAAAGCAAAACTATTGTCTGTGGCTATGAGCTTTTGTTTATTTGTTTGTCTTGTTCCTTTGCTATTTTCAGTTTTATATCCCACGTATCAGTGTTACCAGAGGATAAGGGGGGAAGGGAGTGGTAGAAGAGGGTAAAGGGGATCAAATATATGGTGATGGAAGGAGAACTGACTCTGGGTGGTGAACACACAATGTGATATATAGATGGTGCATTACAGAATTGTACATTTAAAACCTATGTAACTTTACTAACAATTGTCACCCCAATAAACTTTCATTTAAATAAATAAATAAATAACACACACAAACACACACACACAGACCCTTTAACACACACACACACACACACACACACAAAATCGGAGAGCTAAAGTTTCAAAATTCTGCAAGTTTCCCAATATTTACATGGAGAGAAGGATGCTGGACTTTTCTCCCCCACTTTGCACAATCCCACATAGAGGTGAGTATGCCTTGGGAAGCTGACAGTTTCAGTCCCATGTAAAATGGAAGCATCTTGGAACATTACAGGGAAGAAGTCTTAGTGATCAACCTGAGGAAACTGAGGCCCAAGGAGATTAAGTGACTTGCCCAAGGTCACATGCCTAGTGGCTCAGTTGGAACCAGAATCCAGGACTTTTGACTTCAAGAAGTCAATATTCTTCCCATCTCAAAAAATGTTAAGTGAGTGATGTAATCTAAATTCTTCACAGTGATCACACAAACCTACATGAAAGATAATTTCCGAAGAGAGACACAAGTGAGAATGCCCAACCCAATAACATCTTCTCACTTAATTGGGGGATTTTACAGAGGGGTTATGCATCAATTTAAGTGGAATAAGAATAATTTTCTTAATCAGATTTAGGGCACTGCAGCTATCCAGAGAAGAAAGAGCCACCAGGTCGTGACTTACATCCATCAGCAGGGGAAGGCGCGTCACCCTCTGCATGGGGAGAATCAGGAAAGAGATCATGGGTAAGTTCCTGCAGTCTTCGTGGGACTCGATTCGTGACAATACTTCCTTAAAAGATGGATTGGTGGCTCTGAGGGAGAAAAAAAGAAGAAACTTCAAAATACTTCCTCCTCAAGTTAAAAAGCAAGTAAAAATGTTATTATAAAATAGTGTGATAAATTATCACTGATTTTTAAATATACAGAGCAACATGAACACATAATTACATAGGCAGTCACAGATGGCTTGTCTGCCTTTTATAATCAAGGCTGAATATAGGATCTAAGTTTAAGGTCATGGTATGAACAATAAGATAGAATTGTGTGAGCTCGAAATTTACAGAAGTGGAAAGTAAACAAATGAAGAGGCAACGGTATCAAAATGGTGACCATATCAATTACAAATTCTATACAGGCTAGATCTCATATCTGATAATCTATAAACATTCCATTGAAAAGATAAGAAATGATTGGGTTTAAGCCACTTCTGTAGCCCTAGACAATAATCTAAGAAAGAAATGTCCGACTGGCTTTACTAAGTAGGAGGCTTTTGGGCTCGGTCAAAGCTTCTAAGACAGAAAACCTTCTGACCATGTTGGCCAGAGGATTTCTTCTCTCCCAGTGACACAGAACAGTAATAATACTGCCCTACGTTTTTACAGACTTTGGCAAGATACACCGACACGTATGCTCTTACGTGGAACCATCCATACAACTTTCAAGGAAGGCCAAGAGGAGATTCCAATCAGAATGGCGCCTCAGAATGGTTACCGGATTGCCAGATAATAGGCCTAGTATTTGATAAAGACACACGTCAAACCAAGGCCTTCTGACTTTCAGGGGGTGCCCTTATCCCCATATCTCTCACTCTCTCACTTCACCCCAAGAGGAGCTTTGAGGAGCTCCACTGTGACTTGCAAGGAGGTGGGCATGGGATGGTCCTGGGTACTGGAATCCCACGTTGGAGGGCAGAGGGAGGCCAAGAAGCAGGGTGGTGGCAATTGTGACCTTTGTAAAAAAATACGTACATTTTGAAAATTAGATGATTTGGTTCAAGTCTGCTAAAAATAAATTGGGAAATACCTAGAGGAGTAAATTAAAAGAAATTACACAGATATGTTTTAACTTCACTTTCTTAAAATGAGTTTTAAATTTTTTCCCCTGCTAGCTTTGAAAAGGCTTTTAGGAAGTTTAAAAAAAAAATCAAACTCTAAACCAGATGTATCTTTAAATTACTTAGGTATCAGTCCCCCACCGCCCTACCTCCAAAGATTCTGATTAAATAGTCTGCAATGGGCCCTGGGCTTTGTTTGTTTGCTTGTTTTCAGATTCCCAGGAGTTTCCAAAATGCAGGTAAGGATGGATGTCACTGCCCTCAGTGTAAATTCACATCAGCTGCAAAAAAGCTCCTGCAAACACAACTACTACTTTCCAGGTGAAAGCTCAAATGATAGTATCATTAAGCAAATTTAAATAAAACCTTTATTGTTTTCAATTACATAATATACAGCAGTTCCTGTTCACATTTGTTACATTCCTCAAAAAAAAAATGAAAACAATATGAAATGTGGCTCTAATTTAAGGCTTTGGTTTTGAACATGCAACTTGGTGTTTTCTAACAGTTACAGAGCAACCTATATATCAGCAGTTCCCAACAGGGGTCGGGGGTTAGGAAAAGTGAGGGATGTAATATTCCCCCCAAGGGACATTTGGCAACACTGTAGGCATTTTTGGTGATCACAACTGGAGTGAGGGGTGCTTCCAGCACCTAGTCGGGCACAGTCCAGGGATGCCGTTAAACACCCTACAACGTATAGGTCAGCCCCCACAAGACAGAGTTATCCAGCCCACGTCAATAGTGCTGACAAACCCTGATTTGTACTGAAAACCTCATTTGGGGTTGGCTGCTGTGGATTTCCCATCCCGCCTATACTATACAAGAGCTTCATGGGGATGTGGAGGAGGCATAATTAGCCCTTCTCACCAACATGGGGGTTGCTTCTTGAAGCAGCCATAAAGTAATCATCATCAACCCGGACCTTTCCATAGGGCTCACCAATTGCAGAGACGCTGACCAGAGCGCCAAGCTAAGGTCACAAATGCACAAGAGGGAATGAGAATGATAGCAGCCCCAGTAAACCCCCAAACAAAGTTTACAGCAATACACAACTGCACTGTAAAACCAACAGCTACTTGGGATAAACAAGGCCCCCCAAAATAAAACAATATAGACATTTCTGAATAATTGTTGACTCCTTTAAGGATACAGATGGCTCTTTGTCCTAAATAGGACAAAGGGGAAAGGTGTGGAGGGGAAATGTAAAGCTTAATTAACTCTTCTTTGTTTCATAATTAAAGTCTTTAAGTACATTTTTCTTTTTTTATTTGCTGTCCTTCAGAACCTTCCCTTCTCAGACTACTCAGTCCAGAACATCAGCTATTGCCATAATTTTTGTCATTTGAATGAAGGAAGATTAGAATACTAGAGAAAACTCTGGATTCTAGGCACTAATTCAACCGCCTCAAAAACTCTCTCTGGGCCTCAGGCAAATTACTTAATGGCCAGTTAAAGGCTTAGCAAACTGGGGGGATTGGAAATGAAGATCACAACAACTAAACAAAACAACACAAAAAGGAACAAAGACCCTCACACTAAAAGCAATCCTGTTAAACATCTCTCCCTGGCAAATAGGAAGCATTTCTAAATATGATCTAGAGGAGGGTCGGCAAACTTTTTAGATGGAAGAGCCAATCCTGTCCCTCACAACAATTTAAAAATTATTCGAAAGCATAAAACAAATGAAATCACCATTATGTGAATAATATCTTTTAAAAATTTTATAAATGAAACTATGAGTTTTATTTTCATTTTCAATTTTACTTCAGAGCCACATGTACGTACCCAAAGGGCCGCATGTGGCTCGTGAGCCGCAGTTTGCTGACCCCTGATCTAGGAGATCAATTAATTTTAATCGATGTGGCTTAAATTAAAACAAGGTGAGACAATTAAAGCTGTAACATTCAATATAGCTTACAACAATTTTTGTAGTGTTCGTTGTTGATAGACTTCATTTGTGCAGTATTTCACATACGGGTCAAATGTGGATGTTGTGTGTTTTTCCACAATGTCACTTATGTCATCTATGAGGATATTATTCTGATGTCTGGCTTCCAACTCTGTAAAGAATCTGAAAAAAACAAAACAAAGAAAAGCATTTATACTTTCTTCCATATGCTTTAATAGACAACAGATTATCCTCACGTAATGCTATTATTCAGGGTTTGAAAATAGCGACAGTACCAGTACCAAGGCAAAAAGATTCAAGAAAAAACTATTAAAAATGTATAAATTTAAATCTATCATGTTGATACCTTATAACTTCAAGTGATTAGTTTAAAACATGGATAATCCAGTGCATTTCTGTGCTTTCAGGTATATTTCAGAATACACAGATTTCACTATTTTTCAAGAACTACCTAAATATTGAGGGGAGAATATGATGCTTACATATTTTATTGCACTGGAAAGCATATGAGTAAAACGCTTAAATAAGTGCTGAAACAACAAATCTGAAATAAACCTATTTCTATGTGTCCTTCCTGTCAAAATAAAAATAATTGTACTTTAAATCTAATAATATGCATGACATTTAAGTATCTCCAAAAATTATTAGATTGCAATTTAGGGCGTGCCAGATTGAGAGAGAGAGAGAGAGAGAGAGAGAGAGAGAGAGAGAGAATCTGCAGATATTGAGTCCAGTCCAGTTCAGTTAAAATTAAATTTCAGATAACAATGAATAATTTTTTTAGTACAAGTACGTGCCAACTATTGCACAGTACACCTCAAGCGTCTTGTATTTTATCTGGCAACCCTAGATTGCAGCTTACATTTTTTTTAACAGAACATCAAAATCAGGTATTTGTAATTGTATCAGGTTTCCACCCAGAGCGCTGCTGCTCAGAATGTGGGCCACGGACCTGAATCACCTAAGAGCTTATTAGAGATGCAAATCTCACCCCCACCTCCCCCAACCTGAACCTGCATTTTAGCAAGATCTCCAGCTGATTTAAATGAACACTAAAATTTGAGAACTGCCCTAGAGCCCACTTACTGTCCAAATTTGAAGTGTAGGAAAATCTACTAGCAATACGTACCACACAAATCCCAAAGCATTTTCCAAAATACTGTGATGAAGGTAAAATAAACAATAATGTCTAATGTTGACTGCTGGAACAGTAATGTGAGGGAGATTTACTTTTCAATAAGCTCTTTAGAATTAAGCACGCCATTGCTCCTTACCAGCTTACTGGATGGACTCTATCATACAAAACCCAAGGCTGACAGTGAATGAGACAACAGAAATTTATACAAGATAATAGTAAATATGGGCTACCATTTTCTCACATTTATATCTCAATTATTTTCAAAGAAAACCCTGATACTCAGATAAAAAATAATCAAAACGTTAGGAGGCTTTGCTTTTATATATTTACATGTACGTTAAACTCATTTAATATATAAACTGTATTAGCTTGTCCTCATTACTTCTTTTAGCTTTTAAAGTTTCCACAGGAGCTTAAAAGAAAAATACATTGTAACCTCCTAGAAGAGTGAAATCAATTATACTCTGAGAAAGCATCTCCATTTTTATTTCCTTTAAAAAAGGCATGGGGAAAATAATCAATGATTCCCCTCCACAGATGCTAACTGGCCTACTCATCCAAGCCCTTTTGTTTAAAAACAGCCAGAGAAAAAAACTTAAAGCAGGTTTTGCTGGGCCATTTGCCTTTCCTTCCAAGGGTATCAGGGTTAATGTGCATAGTTCCTAGACATTAGGCCAGAAAACACACCAATATGTGCCAAAACCCAGTCAACAGCTTCATGACACTTTGTCAGGGCTGCATCTATTGATATTCAAATAAAATATCAAACCCGCTCCTTAAAGTTTCAGCAATTTCAAAAACATCCAACTCCAAACTCCCAAACAAAAGCCATGTTTCTTAAAGGATATTTTCCTATGTAGATTGGTCCCTGACTTCAAGAAATGTGTGCTCTATTAGGAAGGTAAGACTGATAAACATAGATGTACAGAAAGATAACATTCTTGCATATAACTACAGGTTCCGACATATGGGCATAAAGGTGTTGGTGGTAGTATCTTTTTTTTAAAATTACAAGAACTATAGTTTTTTATTGTGAACTATTTTTTTTATACATAACATAAAATTTGCCATTTTAACCATTTTTAAATGTACAATTCAGTGGTGTTAATTACATGCACAATGTTGTGCAACCATCGCCATTACCTATTTCCAAAATATTTTCATCACCCGAAACAGAAAGGCTATTCCCATTAAGCAGTAACTCCCACTTCCCCTCTGTTCACAGCCTCTGATAACCTCTGACCTACCTTCTGTCTCTATGATATGCCTACTTCATATATTTAATATAAGTGGAATCAGACCACGGTTGTGCTTTTTGTCAGCTTTTCACTTTGTGTAATGTTTTCTGAGTTCTACCACATTGAGGCATGTCTCAGAACTTCACTCCTCTTTATGGCTGAATAATATTCCTTTTAAAGTATGTACCAGATTTTGTTTATCCATTCATGTGCTGATAGACACTTGGCCACTGTGAATAATGATGCGATGAACATGTGCATACAAGTGTCTGTGTGAGGCCCTGTTTTCAAATCTCTGGGTCAGGTGCATATACAGCCTCTTGGACTCTGTGCCAATAATAGCGTGCATCAAGAAAAGACAGTGTAATACCATGCACCGATTGATACAAAGGCCCCTGAGTTATATGCCAAGGGGACGTTATTTCATTAAATGAAAGTTGAGTAAGAAATAAGCTTTCCCTCCTGACACTGACAGTTGAATGGCCCATGGGAGGCGTGGACCAATTAATGACAGAACAAGATCTGTAACAGAGGCGGGCATACGATGAAAAGTCCTGAAAGGCAGGGTGACTGACAGCCAGTCAACACAGGTGAGGGAGGGTGTGAGGCGGGTCTTCAGTGATACAAGTGTCATGACTGGAAGCAGAGGCCACAGCACCAGTGCTGGGTAAACAACATGGGCCCAGACACGAATCTCATTCAAGAAAATGTGGGTAATTGAGTGAGGCTGAGGTGTGACCACAGGAGAAACAGGGGCAGGAAACAACAGCTGAAACACAGGTCAGAGCTTAGTTCCAAAGGTTTCACTGTATATTAGGAGCTTGGGCTTAATTTGTGGACAATGAGAATCCACAAGACAATAAATCACCCAATCAGGGGAAATTGGTACAGCAGACAGATGGATATCAAATGGAGAGAGACAGGCTGCAACCAGGCTAGTGAGATGGGTACAAGGGCAAGTGACAATAAAGACTGGCAGTGGGAAACTGAAAAGAGGGGATACAGATTAGGGGGAGAATTTGGAGGAAAAGTGGATAGGATGGAGAAACTCATTGGGAGAATGAAGGAAGATGCTGGGATTTCTAGTTAAGGTTTCTACCCAGGCATCAAGGTGGGTCATTAACCATTCATGAAGACAGAGGTTTAGGAGGAGTGGGGAGAAGCAAGAAGCAAGAAGCAAGCAGTGTAATTTTGCCTTGCAGATGTCAAATGGACAGCTGAAAATGCGTTATCTGTGAGAATTCGGAGCCATAGCAATTCTAGGTGGTATGTAGTCAGGACCAGCTCATTTTTAGCTGGTTTTCATACAAATGCAAATATTTGTACTTTATTTTAATTCCAAGTGTAATTAAAGAAAATTTAAAAAATAAGAAACCATTCATAAGGTCATTATCATGTAAATCTAAGAAATAAATATCTTACGGGCAACTGTCTTTTACTGTTTCTTGTCTTTCTCTAACTGTCACAATCTGAAGGAATGCAACTATATAACCAAAAACAACAGTAACTTGGCTTTTCCCAATGAAAAGGAAAATTCATTTATCACAGTCAAAGGCTTGCCAAAGTACAAGATTAAAAACAAAGTACTAATGAAATACATGTTTATGCTACTTACTTTAATAGAATATCAATCAAGCCACTCATCTTATATTTTGACATTTGCATAATTAAGACACAATTTAAAGCTTTCTGTGTTAAATTATCTCTTGGTTATTTTGGCAAATTTTGCATACTTGACTAAGTGAACTGAGCTACAAAAAAGACCAAGAAAGTGTTACTGAAGAATAAGGTATTATTCCCATAACCAAGAATGCTGCTGATCCAAATAAAATCTGAAGCAAAAGTAAAAGCGCTCTGGTTCCCTGCATGAAACCTGAATGAATTTGTAATGTCATTTGGCTTATTTTAGGCTTAATTTTTCAATAGAAATATACTTCAGTGCTATAATTTGGGGGACGGGCAGACGGACAATACATTCATTATTTCCTCTTCGTAGCATTACCAAGATGATCACGTTTTATAACCAATCATGTGACACAAACTCTTCCTCTTTTTTTTTCTTTCTACCAAAATTCTAATCTTATTGCTCAAGTCTAGATTTTGAGAAACTTCTGATAAACCAGAAAAGGCTTCCTGCAAGCAGTGCCTCCTACCCAGAAACTCAAGTTAGCCCAGCTTGAGTGCTGACTCGCCACCAGCAGTGCAATCACACCGGTACTTCAAATGAGCTCCTGGGCTGTGCAGGCAACGGTCAGACCACCGAGAACACCAGGGCGGCCCCCCCAGGAGGTGGGACTTCAAGGCGATAACTACAAGTCCATGTCTGAAGAGCTTGCTCATGGCCTGTAACCTTGCCTCTAATATTTCCTAGAACTTCAGGGACTGTGTATTCTTTAGGCTTTTTCTGGTTGCCTTATCAAGTGATGGTTTTAAATGCGGCACTGCACTTTGGGGGGAAAAACAAAGTCCACAGTGAGATGGCCACTCAGTGCGTGTACTTTTCTTAGCTTCACATTCTCCCTTCTGTAGTAGGCAGAAAAGGCCTACAAATGTGAGGTAGAAAAATCGCCATACCATTACTCACAGCCTTCTTAAAACTCAACTGGTGACGTAATTGGCATGTCAGATATGAGCATTCCTGATAGCTCTTGAAGACAGTACAGTCAACCCATCTATCTATAGGGGAGATTCAAACTTATATGATACAGACAACAAATCTGTTTTCAATCAGATAACCAACAAAATCTCCTTCCATCTGTCTAGCACAGGATGACAGGCGTTAGTGG